TATCTAACAGTGGAACTGACAATGGTGGAGAAGGCGAACTTTACTTAACAATTATTCCATGAGCTCAGTTCCATGAGCTGGATAAGAGGTTTTATAATCGTCCCGTATCCAACAACGAAGGGCAGAAGAATTGTTTTATTAAATTATTCGATCCACGAGATAATGTAGACATTCTAGTTAGATTTAAACAAAGTGATGATATGAAAAGTTTAGAAACTTTGTCGCGCGTTGTTCACTTTTGAGTTAAATGAATCATTTTATCAAAGCGAGGAGACAGGTTTCCTTCGAAATATTTAACCTAATATTAAACAATGTTCACTCAAGGAAAATTGGACGTGTCACAAGATTGGTCTTCTCTAGATTCCCTTGAGAGTTCCGATATATAGCGAGAGTGATCTGTTGAAAACCTTCAGAGGAGTGTTTTAGGCCAATAAGACCTATATTTAGTGGGGGTAACTCTTGTACAGGGCATGTAGGATTATAGCCTATTTTGGATGTCCCCATGATAAATTTAGAATTAAAAGATTACACTGAGAATAAACAAGAAAATAGAACAAGTAGAAACAAATGAACAGAAAATTCTTGTGGTAAACAGGGACTTCCTGCAACCGCCGTAGAGACAAAACAAAAATACCAAAAAGAAAAAAACAACAACAGCGGGAAACAAACGTAGAAAAACAGGAACAATTGAACGCAACACAAACCATGTTATCTTGTTGCTATTTTATAGAAACGTTTATAATAAACGGTAAATATAATTTGCACTGTTACAATTACTAACTGTCTGGGTCTAAGGTGCGTACGTTGTCTACATATGAGACATTATCGTTTGTCATCTTCGTCACGGCACAAGGCATCTTTTAGCAACTTGCTTGGCTTAAAACTTCGCAGTGTACAATAATTTAGTAGAGTAGAGCGCCTTGGCAGCGTTCAGCGTAAATTCACGGGCATTTGAGTTTGTCCGATCCATTTACTAGTGACAAGATCATAACATTCTGCAGGTTTTTATGCTGCTTGACGGTGTTCACTGTTTCAGAGAACTCTTGTCATTACGACGC